GTTAGTAATGTACAGCCTAGATAAGGCCAAATGAGTGTCGATAAAGCATGTTCAACAAGGTTGGGAAACATGCCTATTCTTTCCAGCAATCTACCATAAGAGAGCGGACACGTGACAGGACACGTGACCGCAATTGATTAAGAGCACCGGTACCTAATTATTGATGTAACGTCGTTGATCTAACAGACGAAATGAAGCATGATATCAGTGCATGATTTACCAGAATCTGTTTTTACCGAATTGTAGTATGGGTTTCTTCATTTTTCGCTTCCTCCAGGTTTAACTGTAAACACACACATCCGACTAAGAATTGAAAACTGAATTTTAATTGTGTAAGAGCTGCTATAATCATAAAAAGACTGTTCATCGTTCTCCAATAGTCATCTACGAACAAAACCATTCAAGACACAACGCGTTATCTACCTCTATTTAACATTTAGAAATATCTACCGCACCTGCTGACGTCATATCCCCCTCTGGCCTAAGATAACACATCTTACTATGGCAGTAAGGAATATCGTAATTCCTCTTGCTCACAAGATATGACGTCTCTCTAAATAATAACTTGCAGTTAAATATTTAAATAGTAACAGTAATCATCACAATACATGTACATGGCCGCTCCTGTGATTGGAGCAAGGGGGGCGTCAGCACTTGACGATGAACTTCGTTTCTTGTTATATTATTTTATGATGCATAATCAAACTCAATGCCTTCAGCTCTAAGCAATAACATTTCTTCTCCCGTGTTATATCTACTTTATTTAATTCTCACGTTGCTTGATCAACCCAATACCGTTCTGACAGGTTGAAAAGTGGTCACCGCTAAACATATGTCAGTTGTCAAATGGCTACAAGTTGACATCTTAACGTAACACAAGGAAATAACAGATCGCTCGTGCAGTGTCTCTGAATACCGAAATCACTTTGGCTTGTGTAAGTAGCGTAAAGAAAGATATGTCAAAATTCTGAATATAAAAATAAAACAGAGAAGTACAGCAATGTTTTCTCCCACAGATCTTGTCACATTCAGCCTCTCTAAAATGTCCGTTCCTTCGATGACGGTTCCATTGTTGTGGCATTTACCGTAAGAAGACTCAGTCGCCGAGCAACTGGAGGAACAAAAGTGATGCATTTTGAGTGATCTTTTTTACATTATATTCTATTTTGACATTAACTTTTGTAGTAAAGAGAATTCTACCAACAACAATATTGTGCTGAAACTGTAGGAAGACAATAATCTTTATTTGC